TTAATGTTTAATTCAATAATAATTGGTTCCGGTAATTTATGTGATGGTTTATATAAAATTACCTTAAATCATCAGTTTGTACAATCATTAGTAACTCTGCATTCAAATATTGGTTGAAAACGTAGTCTAATTAATGAAAAATCCTCAATCTTGTGGCATAGACGGTTGGGGCATATCTCTAAAAATAGAATTGAAAAATTGGTGAAGAATGAGATTTTGAAAAACCTAGACTTCACTGATTTTGAGATATATGTGGATTGCATTAAAAGAAAGCAAACCAAACACACCAAGAAATGTGCCACAAGAAGTAATGAGTTTCTTGAGATAATTCATACAGACATTTGCGGGCCACTCAACATCCCATGTCTTAGTGGTGAAAAATATTTTATCACATTCATAGATGACTTCTCACGTTATGGATATGTGTATCTAATTCATGAAAAGTCTCAAGCTGTTGACATCCTTGAGGTGTACATAACTGAAGTCGAGAGACAATTAGATAGAAAGGTTAAAATAGTGAGATCAGACAGGGGTGGTGAGTATTATGGTAAATATGATGAGTCAGGCCAAAATCCTGGCCCATTTGCCAAATTCTTAGAAAAGAAAGGCATTTGTGCTCAATATACAATGCTTGGTACGCTACAGCAAAATGAAGTTGCTGAAAGGCGTAATCGTACACTTAAAGATATGGTTAGGAGTATGTTAAGTTACTCAATTGTACCTATTTCAATGTGGGGTGAAACTTTAAAGACTGCAATGTATATCTTAAATAGGGTTCCTAGTAAGGCGATCCCAACAACTCCTTTTGAGTTGTGGACTGGTAGGAAACCTAGTTTGAGACATTTACATATTTGGGGTTGTCCAGCGGAGGCAAGAATCTTCAACCCACAAGAGAAAAAGTTGGACTCAAGAACAATATCTGGATATTTCATTGGTTATCCAGACAAGTCTAAAGGGTACAAATTCTATTGTTCTAATCACAGTACGAGGATAGTGGAGATTGGTAATGCTAGATTCCTAGAGAATGGTGAAATTAGTGGGAGTGAGAAAACACGAGTGGTGAATTTCGAGGAAATTAGGGTGGATGTCCCAACATTTGACCCTTATCAAAAAATTGTTGTACCTTAGCCTTTTCCACAGGCTGAGGGAAACGAACAACATAATGAAAAATCCTTCACCACCTCATGTTTCACCACTTCATGAAGATACCACCATTGAAAATATTGTAGAACCACCACAACTGGCAGTTTTGAGAAGATCTCAGAGGGAAAGAAAGCCTGACATTCCAGATGATTACATGGTGTATCTACAGGAATCTGATTTTGATATTTGGATTAACAAAGATCCAGTTTCATTTTCACAAGCCATGAATAGTAATGATTCTTCTAAATGGGTCAATGCTATAAATGAAGAGTTAAAATCCATGGAACAAAATAGTGTTTGGGATCTCGTCGAATTGCCTAATAACTGCCAAAAGGTTGGGTGTAAATGGGTCTTCAAGACCAAGCGTGACGCAAAAGGCAATATCGAACGATTTAAAGCTAGACTTGTTGCCAAGGGTTTTACTAAAAAAGAAGGCATAGACTATACAAAGACCTTCTCTCCAGTATCTACGAAGGACTCGCTTAGAATCATCCTAGCATTGGTAGCTCATTATGACGTAGAGTTGCATCAAATGGATGTGAAAACTGCTTTTTTAAATGGGAATTTGGATGAAAAAATTTATATGGAGCAGCTAGAAGGATTTGCAAAGAAAGGTAAAGACCATTTAGCTTGCAAATTAAAGAAATCCATATATGGCCTTAAACAAGCTTCTAGCAATGGTATTTAAGGTTTAATGACACCCTTACCTCTTTCGGATTTAAGGAAAATGCAGTTGATCAGTGCATATATCTGAAGGTTAGTGGGAGTAAGTTCATTATTTTGATGCTATATTTGGATGACATTTTGTTAGCTAGTAATGACCTTGGCTTATTTCATGAAACCAAGGAATATCTCTCCAAGAACTTTAAAATGGTTGATATGGGTGAGGCAAACTATGTTATTGGCATAGAGATCTTAAGGGATCGATATCGAAGATTGCTAGGACTATCGAAGAAAGGATATATTGGTTGTGTTTTGGAGAGATTCAATATGCAGTTTTGTTCAGCCGGTGATGCACCCATCATGAAGGGTGATAAATTAAGTGAAAAACAGTGCCCAAGGAATGACTTGAAAAGAAAACAAATGAAGGACATTCCATATGCTTTGAGGCTACAAATCATGCTTTATGGTTGCGGAATTTCATCTCAGGACTTGGTGTTGTTGACTCAATTGCCAGGCCGCTGAAGATATATTGTGACAATACCGGATTCCATTCCATTCCCTCCTGCTATAACTATATATTATTATCAATAACAGCAACAACAAAATGGTATGAGGCAGCAAGTTATTAGGTAAACAACAAGTGTTAATTGAAAACTTAAGCACTTCTCTTATGATTGCTGATCCATTCACAAAGGGATTGCCACCAAAGACATACAAAGAGCATGTTATCAGGATGGGTCTTTTAAGCAACCCTTGATGTGTATGGTTAATCGTGAGTGCTTATTTTTATTTGACACTATTTGCGCAATAATAATTTTGTTTCTATTTTTCCTGTGTTCTAAAAGTGCGTGTATACATTAATTTGAATATTGATAAACAGGGAATATCTTAACAAGACAAATTACAGGGGCCTTTCAGGAAAATAATTATATATCCCGATAAAGGATTGGGTTGGCGAAGGTTATCAATGGTGTAGTGCATAGAAGGAAATATGACATAAATGTTATATAACCGCTATGACTCACATTGGTGATCTGAAGTAATCATAGTATTATAGTTTTTAATATATCTGAACTTATTGGCTATTTTCAAAATTCGTGATCACGTGTCAAAGTTTTTAGTGTGGAATCCAATGAGTCAAAATTTTTTGTAAGTTGCATATTTTTTGGAAAAACTCATAATTGCATCATAATCGGCTTAATGGGCCAAGTGGGAGAACGTTGGATTTATTTTCTAGTGTGGCCCAATAGCCTACATATTTTTACATGTTTTATTTTATTTGGACTCTACAATTAGATAAAGCCAATATTATATATAATGTTCAGGAATTAAAATTTTAATATAATCACTCTTCTAAGATAAGAAGAAAATGTTGATGGATTATGAATTCTTTTGATAGAGTTTATTTGGCCATCTTCTCTCCTCTATATAAGGATGGGTGACTCCCCTTTCATATCATGAGTATTTTTCACTTTAAATTTTATAGTCATCCTAATTAAGAGAGACAGAGAGAAGAAGGTGAGCCAAGAATTCAAGGTTCAACTATTAGGGGTATTTTCTCAACTTCTCTAATTCAATGGTTGACAAATGTATATTCGTTTTATTCTTGAGTTGTATTGAATTCAAGATCCTGTTAAGTTTAATTCCGCATTATTATTATGATTATATGTATTATTAATACATACAAACTCAACTATTTTGACTTTTTTTTACCAATATATATATTTGGAGAAATTTTAAATTATTAAAAAATAAAGCACATTTTTACAAATGAGTAAAAATCTTACACAGAAAAAATGGTACCCCAACTTTTGAAAAATATTTTATTGCAAATGGAAACTATTATGTATTATGAATTTGTATTTCGAATTTTATTTTAAAAATGAAAGGGATGGTACAGATTGAAAATTAGTGGGCCGTTTTTGGGTGGGTAAAAGAAAATTAGTGGGACATGAGCTACACTTAAAGATAATATTGGAAATTGACAATTTTAGTAATTTTTTAATTTTTTACAAAAAGATGTAAAAAAATTGAGAGAATAAATTAAAGATTTTATTTATCTCAAGTTGTCATCTCAATTTGAGATAGCATTCGGACTTAGTAGGCCCATTTCGGAACTAATTTCGGTGATTTGAACCGTCCACTTTTTTAGGCTTGTTGAATAGAATATTTATGAAAAAAATCAAGATGATTAGACATCGGTATCTATATGTTTGAATTATATTAGTTTTAAAAAAATGGACGACAAACATAATTTCAAGAATAATTATCTATTTTTTGTAATATAAATTTAATTCAAATATATAGCTACCGATATCTGATTATTTTAATTTTTTACATGAATATTCTACTTAATGAGTCTTGAAAAGTGAACAATTTGAATCATCGAAATTGGACTTGTGATTGGCTCCACAAGTCTCTTAATTTTTTTTTTTTTTTATGTTTAGATGTGAATATGATAGAACCTAACCTATAAGAGTGCCTAACCTATAATAAGGTAACTTTTTTTTAGTGACTTTTTTAATTAAAATAATCACTTTTCAAAATAGGCCTAGAATAATTATGATATATAAATTTATCTTATTGAGTATTTTTTTCTTCGTAGTATTGATGTCAAAATCAACTAACAAATATTTTTTTTTAGAAAAATGCCTCAAACCTCCACTGGGGTGACCCCAGACAGTTATCCCAGCCAGTGGGATGCGATTAGTCTGTTTCTCTTTTTTTTTTTTTTTTTCTCTTTTTTTGATCCAATGATCAATCTCCACGTGTGTGTAAGGGAGGTGGTGAGGGTAGTTAGAGACTGGGGTCTCAATCAAAACTGTTTTTTTATTTATACTATTATAAAGTGAACATCTCTTATGGTATTTTGAAGCCTTTATTTCTTATGCTGTCACGTGTCTATTTTTTTATTTGAAATAAAAATAAAATTAAATAGATGAGAGAAAGGAATTTGAACATTAAATTTATGTCAAATGAATAAAATTCTTACTATTTAACTATATAATAAATATTTAATTTTATTTTTATTTATTTAAATTACACACAGCATTACATGTGACAACCGCTAGTATATCTAAACATCATCACTCATAAAGCAAAGAGTCACAACTTCATCATATGTTAATTGAAAACATGCATGGTCACAGTTAAAGACTGAGATACGTCACAGAGAATCAGAGATATACATAAGATTGTCTAGAGAGAGAGAGAGAGCGCGAGAGAGGCTCTCTTTCTTGAAGCTATTATTGTAGGTTTAACAGGTTTGACAACAAAACCCTTCAAAACATAACACTAACACACAGTATTTTTTAAAATATTATTATTGCAAAAGCTCTCTAAAAATGGACTTTTTTTTTTTAGGGTTAGCGTCTTCTGGCAGCAGTTTCTCTCTGGGCGTTGAAGAAGACGGCGGCGACAGGTGGGCCGAGATCGTTCTCGGCAGCGAAGCTTCGAGTGCAGAAATGGTCTCTCATGGAAGGAGGGTTCACAGTCTGTCTTCGTTTCTGTTTGAAGAGAACGAAAACAAACCTGTGAATCCCTATGTTAGGCCTTGGTATCTCATAGCTCACTACTTCTCTTCCTGTTCATTCAATAAAAGAAACAAATCAGTACTCTCTCTCTCTCTCTCCCCTCTATTATGGAGTGGATGAACTTACCAAAGGAAGCATCTGTTGTTCCTGGAATGTCCGTTACTATCCTGAAAATTGGTCAGTTGAAAACTAAACTGTTACTTCTCTGGAAATTCATATTAGGCCCGTTTGGGTGTTGTTTTTTTTTTATTTTTATTTATTTTTTTATTTTTTATCAGCAAGGAAAAGAAGACATTATTGATGATTTCAACATGAAAAAGAATATACATCAATAAAGACAAACAAGAGAGAGAAAAAAGTCAAGCAGCTTATCCAAATGATTCGCACCAAGACGACCACTCTTGTTGGGAGATGTGGCTATAGTAATAAAGTCAAAAAAATGTTATAAATTATTAGATTAGTCTTTCGACTTTCTACGTCTCTTTTTATAAAAATTAAAATAGTTAATTTTTTATCTGTTTGTTTATGCTTAATTTGTTTCATTATGGGGTTACACTTATAAGTTCAAAAAATGAAGTACTAGTTCAGATAGAATTTTAAAAAAATAATTATAAATAAGTGGTAAATTTTATAAATATTAATAATTAAAATCATATATCTTTTCATGAATTTGTAATAAATTCATGGAATTTCCTCTAAATAGTAATTTTCCCTTTTAAAATATATACATTTTGGGATTGTGATCCTCATCATCCAACAATAAGTATAATGATCTTTTTCTTAACTTAAATTTTTATTTCATAATTATTAGATATATAATAGAAATCCTACATTACAAACATATAAATATTGAAACTAATGATCACACAATAGATGGTTATTACCATTTTTTTTTTCATTTGGAACCTATCCAGATTAAGCAACGAGTATTGTGTATAATTTTTAATAACTTTTTTTTTGAGTCGCTAGTATTCTAATCCAGATTTAGAAAGCTGTCTAGGTTTCATTCCGTACACATGTTGCCCATTGATTGCTACATTTTACTGATATTTTAGCATTGAAAAATGGTTTGCATATGTGATAAGTGATAATTTTCACAATTTTGAGTCAGATGGATGTTTTGCCTAGAAATAGAAGGAATATAAATGATCATATTATTCTTTATGATTTTTTTTGTATATAATTTCTGTTTGTATTTTTTTTTTAAACATTATTCTTTTAACATTTTGTTCTATTTCATGAGGGTCTTTTCTTTTTCTTTTTTCTTTTGTCTTAATTTGTTGATCTCGTGATCAAGATTTTTTTTTTTTTTAGATTGGGTTTTCGACTTCATGATCAAGTTGAAGTTAAGAAAACTCATACAGGTAATTGGCCCTACCTACCGGTATGATATCCATTTGGGCCATAAAATTAATCAAAGTGTTACTATCTCGCAAAATGAAATTGATGCAACTAAAATAGTAGCTTGAGCATAATTTGGGTTTCCTTCCTTCTTTTCTTGTTTTTTTTTTTTTTTTTTTTTGATAACTCGGTATCCGGCCTATTAGACAGACTAGGAAATTTCGAATATGAGATCTTGGAGCTGGTTTCCTTCATATATTAGCATACAACACCTACATACATATTACAAGAAGCAAAGTTTATTCTAGTAGTTGGTTTTACTGCATTAGGGCTTTTAATTTGAAATGAATGAAAAAAATGTGTCATATCATTTTCTATAATTTTTTTTGTGTTTATATATCATGGTGACTCATTTTCTTTTATAGAATTAATCTATAACTTTTTTATACAAACCCCTCAAGTTGAAGATAGGAAAACTTATACTAATCTCTCTTTTCTTTTTCTTTTTTTTTTTTTTTTTTTTATTTTTTTTTTTTTATGTATATTGGAAGCCGTAGTTTGGGGGAATGGACGTTTTTTCAATTCTTATCGTTTCAAAATTGTCTTACTAATTGCTAGTATAATGTAGAATTTTTTTTTTTTTTTTCTTTTCGATCAACATAATACAGAAGTTTCTTACTAACCAGTGCATGTGTGTGGTTGATATTTTTGGTGTTTATTCGAGTATGGGTACTTTCAATTTTTAACAATTTACTTCTAGATAATTTGAGCTTGAAATATTTATATAGTGAACTAATTTTCATTTATTTCCATGGAATGAATGGGGATGCTTTAGGGTATACCAGTGAAGGTGCTCCCTTAAATAAGGATCACTAGGGCCAGGAACATCAGGGTCTGTCATGACCTGCATATAAGGATGTAAAGATTAAGCTCATATGATACAAAATAGGACACATTAATAAATTTAAGAATACAGAAATCAGTCACAGAATTGAACACATAATAAACATGAATAAACAAGACCTTTTAGATATGAATCCTACTAAAAAAAATTGTCCATTCATTTTTATTCTTGTATCTAGTTTTATCATAGATTTTTGTGTTCAAAGCAAAACTAATAACACTAAGATCAATCATAGAACTAAAAACAAAGTAGCAAGTCTAAAAACACAAAGATCAATTACTGTCACAAAATAAACATGAACGAGCAAGACCTTTTAGATGTGAATCCTACTAACAAATTTGGAAAATTTGTCCATTCAGATTTATTCTGTAACAAGTTTTATGGTAGGTTTGTGTGTTCATAGCAAAACTGAAAACACAAGAAATATGATTCATGTAGTTTGAAATGAACATATACAATACCAAAAGAGGAATGGCAAAGGAAAAAGAAAAAAGAAAAAAAAAAGTAATGGGCAGTTGAATACTATACCAGTGTAAAGAAAGTTCTCATGTCACCTCCATGAATTTCAAACCTAGGTTTGGTGTTTACTTGAGAAGGATAGAGCTCATGGCCATTGCAGACTTGCTTGTTGTTGTTGTAAGTGACAGACATTTTTATGGTTGGAGTGAATATATCAAGGACATCTCCTATCACTCCTCCAACAATGAGGGGTTCAGACATTCTTGCCATATGAGAGAGGGAGAGAGAGAGAGAGAGAGATGCCCAAATCTTGGAATACTTAGGAATGCCTAGCAAGGAACAAGAAGCCTCGTATATATATAGTGTAGTGAAGTACTTGACCTAGAGGGAGATAAGAGGAGGAATATAGAATGTAGATTATGGGACATCAAGAAAGAGCCTCATTGTGAACCTCTATCCATCAAGAAATTTTCTATGATATCATTCACCTTTCTGACTATCTCTCTCTCACTTACTCCCCATTGGGTGGTCCCTTGGAATTGGTTCTTGATTGGTTGTCTGCCTAACTTATATAATGAGTTTAATTCAAGGACAATATGTAATGCGCACTCCTAAAAGATGTACATTATGTGTACCTCTTTAGCTAGGATGATATATATGATTTTTTTGTTACAACATAATATGATCATCACATCATAATTTATAATGTATAATATCATAACTTAAATGATATATGCTACGGATTTTATATTTGTACTGACTCACGTCATAGAAGAATATTATAGAGTAATACAAGATATACAAAATTTGTAAACATAAAAACACGTCAAATATTGAATGCATGGTTTATATTTACTTAAGATATAAATTTTATCATACAATAGTTAAATATCAACCCCACATTATTTTTTTTGAATACATTTCTATGCACAAATTTTGTATAGGTAACTTTATCCAATACTATATGAAATGCTGCATGTGGTCCCAACTAAGCAAAAAATTGTCATTGTAGGCTACTTTTTAGCAAAAAAGGGAAAGCAATACAGTTCTAGGTTTCTACATGACCATACCCAAATTGACAAAGAGAATCCAACTTTTTTTCATTTAAGGTAATCAACCAGGTGAGATTGTTGAATGGGTACGTAGTATTGTTTAGAACCATCCTAAACAACACATAATAAAGCATTGCAGAGGGATCTAATTAATAAAACTAGATATATAAGTTTGAGAGAGATTCTTTGGAGATGGGGGCACAATGCTCAGGGCATAAAGGAACTCCACCCACACACACATGGAAATGTTAGTGGGATTTAGTGCAGAGAGGTCATTTCAAGTAAAAGAGAATCATATACAGATGTTCCAAAATTAGCAAAGCAAGAAGGTGGGCTTTCTATAACTAGAACCCCAAAGTACTTTTATTGTATATCCCACTCTGGACTTCATGTGATCATTCCAAGTACACCACACACCCCTTAGAAGGGAGATTTTAATTCCTTCTTATTGCTGTTTTTTTTAAGGAATTTTTATTTGTAAGTCTTATTTAGAAGTGTTTTAATCTTAAAAGTTTATGAAGAAATTTTTTAACTTACTTAGTCTCACGTATTTATAGTTTTATTTCATAAAGTCATTTTGCTTAATTTATATTATTTTGTTAGACTCTTATGCCCTTATATTTAATATTAATGTTGGGAGAGGAGAGAGAAGGAAAATAATTAAGGCATAGGAAATTTCATATTGATGTTATTATTTTATGTTATTATAGAATATATTTTGAATTGATAACTTATTAAAAATAATGTGAACATTCTCTTTCATGATGTGAATATATTTTTAATTGACAACACATTAAAAATAATGTGAACATTATCTCTCATCTGATGTAAACGTTCACAACAGCTTTCCGAAAAATTCTCTCTCATCTAATATAGTAATGTAAATATTCACAATATGTGAACCTTTTTATTTTTAATTGAAAATACATTAAAAATAACGTTCATTTTATTTTTAATTGACAACACATTTTTATTCACAACATGTAGTGATGTGAACGTTTACAATATGTGAACATTCTCTCTCATCTAATGTAGTGATGTGAATGTTCACATTCGTATGTTTTAGTATGAATATTCACATTATGTAATTAACAGCACAATGACAAAAATTCATTTCAAGTTAAGACTTGTGATTGTGTAATTTGATGCAATGTTGATGTGAACCATAACATCGCTTTTATCACAACGTCATCTGATGTGAACATTCACATTCACGTCATTTGATGTAAACATTCATATTCACATTCATGTCATCAATAAAGAACCATGTTTAATTTTTTGTGTGTAATATATATCAACATTAAATAGTGGTGTGTAGTTAATATATTTTTTTGGAGTGAAGATATAATGACAATCAAAATTAAATATCAACATTAATGGGGGTAGGAGAGATTTAGGGTATTTTGTTCTTTTTACCTTAAATAGGGCTTAATAGAATAGTAAAAAAAAAAACATATGATTTGGATAGAATAACACTCTTAGAAATGAGATTTATAAAAAAAAACTCCAGTTTTCTTATTGCTGTTTTCAGGAATATTATTAGGTTATTCCATTATTTGTGTAGTAATCCTGATAAATAAGAAATTGTAAAATATGTTAGTAGTTTGTTATCTATTTTTTAACTACTTAATAAAGGAAGTAAGTCAATAGTTTGTCAACCGTAAATTTTTTTGCTTTCACGCACGATATTCCGGAACTATAGAATAATTATCTTTGTTTTCGTAGTTTTTTAAATTTATATCATTAGATTTCACATCATTACACTTTGGACGTTACCTTATGATAGTTGCAGAGACCAATAACATTAGACTCGTTGGGATGGAGCTTGACTTTTTAATTTTTTAATATTTTGTTTATTTTAATTTGTGGTTAAAAAGTTTTGTTTGAGATGATGTTTTAACTTTTTAAACTCTTATAAAAAAAAATAAAATAATTATGATTTGAATGTGACATTTTGTCTTATTAAGTTAAAAAATTTAATTTATCTTTTTGTAACTAAAATAAACCCAACCTCACCCAAACTCACATGCCAAACGGCACTTAGGAAGATGGCAATATTTTGTATAGCCTATACCAGAAGTCTTATATCTTATGAAATTTCATGCCCTACCAAAAAGGCCCCAAAGAAATCTCAGCCCATTAAGAAAAAAAATTGATATTACTTACTCGAATATATCTGTATGATAACTATAAAAGGCTGAATATAAAAACATCCATTGACAAAATTTGTTAATTTTGATTTTTTTACAAACATAAAATTAAAAAACATCTATTGACTAAACTGTTTGTAAAATCCTACTAAATTCCAACCTTATTAAAACCATCGGCAATTAAAACCTTTTAAAATTTTTAAAACCTTTAAATTTGGTTAATTTTTAGATTTATAAAAACAAAATTTAAAATCATCTATTGGCTAACACCAACATTTTTTGATTAAGGCAAAGGGAGCATTAACTTATTTTATGATTTTTATAAAATCAAATAATTATGTGACATTAAACTCACTTTCATAACTTTACACACGATTTTAAAACTTATAAATAAAATTTTTATTCAAGAAAGGTAAAATGGAAATAAATGAGTTGAATATCATATCTTCTTTTTCTTCTTATTTTTTTAATACAAACAATGTCCGTGCATAATATAAGTTAATTCCCCCCCCCCCATAGAAGATCAATTACAAATATGAAAATAATTACATAAAAATCGAGAATTAAAATCCAACAACATAATCAATTTTTGTATTTACCTCTAAACCTCCTCGATATGAGTGTACAAGAGTGGCCAATTGAAATTGCATAACACAAGTTAACTGCTAATATTAAAAAACTAAAAAGGTATCATTGAGAGTTGTTACTTTAAGTTTTAAATTATTTTGGGCTGGTCTTGTCTTATTCACTAAACCAATCTCTTGATCTTAGCATTCACCAACTAAAAAAAACGAAGTTTTGACAAGGAAACCATAGAATCAATGCTCAAAGGACTAATGAGATGCATACATACCAAATTTGAGAAAGGGCATTTAACAACCATATGCATAAGTGACATATTGTGGTTGCTCAACGCAAACAAGACATAAAATAGTCTATAATCACCTTTCCCCTGTCATACATGGGCTATATATGTCATATATACCAACACTATAATTCTCATAGAAAATGTCTAACTTTTCCATGGATGTGAAGTTTGCCATATTCTCCTCCAAATGCTTTCTGAGCCTCTTCATGCTTCTAGATTTTTCAAGGGAACTTGTTTTGTTCAACACCGATTTAAAAGTTGTTTTTTTTTTTCAAACTCATTTCAGATCAATGAAAAAGCCTAAAAAGATAATTATTTAGTCTACAAAATGAATATACACGATCTTATATTAGTGCTAAATAACACATACCCAATTCAACTTCTATTAAACTTTGGCACATGAATTGTTTTCAAGATTTTAAAATCTTTTATTACCATCTTGCTATACTACTTAACAAAATGTATTTAAAAAAAAAAATTTCTTAAACCTAATTTTTAAAAATATCAACTTTTTGAGTTCTTTGAACTAAAAACACAAATAACTTGAAAATATAAAAAATTTATCAAAACCCTAATTCTTCAAAATACAACATGGAATTGCAAATTTTAAATTAAGTAAGCTATAAATAAATTTTGTCAATTGATAATCTAAAATTTTAGGTGCTCTTTAACAATTCCCAACCATATACTTCACTCCCTCAATCCAAATTCAAAAGATCAGTAATTTTCAACTTAAGACTCCATTTGATTAGAAAGAAAATTTGGTAGAAAATGAAAGTGAAAGTAAAAGTGAAAGAAAAGAAATAGAAAAGAAAATATATAATTTTGTAGGTATTTGATTAAGATGAAAATTTTGTAAGAAAAAAATAGAAAAATTTAAAAGTTTAGTTATAAATAATTCACACATTCAATTTTTCTTGCGTTTTCTTGTATTTTTTTTTTGCAAGAAATTAAAAATTAGTTACAATGCTAATATGAGTTGTACAATAAAATTAATTTTCTTCTACTTTCCACTACTTTCAAACTAAATAAACTCTTAAAAGTTATTTTTTTCTTCTCTTTCCCTCACTTTCTACCTATTTCATCATAAACAAACTAAGAAAAAAGTAAAAAAGAAAAGAAAAAGAAGTGGACATACTCACCTGCATATTATTTTAAATACAATCCACTCTAACGGTACTTTAAACAACAGTAATATTACGAAATCATATATATATATATTTTTTTATCGAGAACTTTACTCATAATTATTAATTATTGGGCTTAATTTATTTCATACATAGTTACAAACAACATCAATTCTATCTATACCGCATAATTACAATATGAATGAAGTTTTGAGATAATTTTTTTTTTTTTTGGTCATTCAGACTTTTTGTTTAAACAATTATGTTATTCAGGTAGACAATTGAAGAGGATGGTGAATTGGGTTAAATAATTTTACAATATTAAAAATAATTAACATAATATTTAAATTTCAATAAATAAAAAACGAAACAATAATTATCAATATAAAAGTAAAAGAGATATAGAGAGAAAGTCAAACACTGAGATTTATAGTGGTTCGGCGTACTGGGCCACTCCCTAAGGAACCTCCTTAAGAATTTTTCTACTATTAAAATGAAGGATAAATTACACTGACACCCCCTAAGGTTTAGGTTTATTATAGTTCCCCCCTCACCTTTTTGAAATTACATCTCCCCCGAGATTTAAAGTTTCATTACAGATTCTCCCTGTAAGCAATTTAATTTTTTTAAATACCAATTTTGCCCTCATTGGTTAAATTACATTGGCACCACTCACATTTTAGAAATTACAATCCCCTCCCTAAGGTTTAAAGTAGCATTACCAATTGTCCCATCGATTAGTATTAGTTGGAAAAAAAATTCATTGAAAAAAAAAATTAATTGAAAAAAAAATTAATTAAAAAAAAATTTGTTGGTAAAATTTTTAAATTTCTGTTTAAAAACCAACGTAAGTTCATTTTTTGAATTTACGTTTTTTTCTCAAATTTACAAACTGAGACAATCATTTATAAACTAAAAAAATTATCAAACAAGTTTTTATGGTAGTTTTTAAAATTTTTGTAAATATAAATTGAAAACTGAAAACGAAATAGTTACCAAACAGGCTTCAGATGGTAAAAATGTCGTAAAATTAACAACTAATTAAATAAGTTACCAACGTAAGAAATGACTTATCAAAAGATTTTTACGCTATGTATGGTCTGATTTTTAGAATTTTTTTTTTTAAAAAACTAAAAATTAATTTGGTTAAGAAATAAAAAATAAAAAATAATTATCATTTTTACATAATTTTTATCTTTCGAGTGATTAGAAATAATTTTTTACAAATTAAATTAAAACAGTCATACGCATGTATATAATCTGCCCAAAAGTTAAAATGATAATTATTTTTTACCCTTAAATGATAATTATTTTTTATTTTTTATTTCTCAACCAAATTAATTTTTAATTTTTAAAAAAAAATTCTAAAAATTAAACTATACATAGTTTAAGAATCTTTTGATAAGTCATTTTTTATGTTGATAACTTACTTAATTACTTGTTAATTTTACGACATTTTTACCATCTGAGTCCTGTTTGGTGACCATTTTGTTTTCAGTTTTCAATTTATATTTACGAAAATTTTAAAAACTGTCATAAAAACTTGTTTGATAATTTTTTTAGTTTATAAATATTGTCTCAGTTTGTAAATTTGAAGAAAAAATATAAATTCAAAAAATGAGTTTACGTTGATTTTTAAACAAAAAATTTAAAAATTTTACTAACAAAATTTTTTTTTAATTAATTTTCTTTTTCAATGAATTTTTTTTCCAACTAATACTAACCGAGGTGGCAATTGGTAATGCTACTTTAAACCGTAGGGAATGGATTGTAATTTCTAAAATGTGAGGGGTGTCAATGTAATTTATCCAATGAGGACAAAATTGGTGTTTAAAAAAATTAAATTACTGAGGAGAGAATCTGTAATGAAACTTTAAACCTCAGGGGGAGATGTAATTTCCAAAAGGTGAGAGGGGAACTGTAATAAACATAAACCTTAGGGGGTGTTAGTGTAATTTACCCTAAAATGAATCAATATACCTCGAAACCTTCACAAAACTTGTGGATTTTACATAGATCTTATTCTTATCTGTTGAGTCTCAATCAACAATAAATGTTGGTATTTTAACCATCTTTTATAATAATTCTTTTACAAAGAACATATATGAAAGTGTAAGACTAAAGACAACACTTAGATCTGAAAGTAAAAGAGCACAGTAAAAAAAAAATATAGACTCAAAATTTTGGAACATACAAATTTTTTTCTCTTCAAATTATTGATTTTTCTCTACGCAAAACATTTCTATTTATACACAAAAATATACTCATTGAAAAATATACTCATTGAAGAGACAGGTACTCAAAGAGGCAGATGCTCATCGTCTGACTTTGTAACACTATAATCACGTGGGCATGCGGTGCGGAGCGGGCACAATTTTCTTTTTCCTTTTCTATTCAACAAATGTTGTGAGTTTTGAAAATATAGATCGATATCGCTTTCGGTAAACAGTATGACCCAAATTTTCAAACTTCTCTAGTAGATAATAAAAATGTACAGTGATTGCATAATAACTTTTTATTAAAATATTTGATCATATAGTAATTTTTTTATTAAAATATTTGTATACATAGCAAATTTTTTTTAAATAATATTTATATCATATATAAAAATATATATTCCTTTTAAAATCTTTGTAGTTATTGTAAATATTTTACATACACTTTAATAAAAATAATCAACCACCCCATGTGGGGTATATTAAATTTTATTAAAAGACAACAATTCACCAAAATCAAATTTGTCAAAAAAAGACAACTTATTAATATCAAATTTATCAAAAGATGAATAGTGATCTGTCTAATTTTCAAAATTGTGAATAGTAAAATCTACTATTTGAGTATAGTAATTCATCCGAAATTCAAACATGAATAATATTATCTATTTAAATAATATTTATAACAAATATATCATACAAAATATATTTTAAACAGATAATATTTTGTGTCAAATAATATAAAATATGTATATTAAAAAATTATTTATTACATAATATTTTAGATATCATCAAAATTAAATCATATGATTAACAAATTCCAAATTAAGACATTGTTTTGTGGCAAAAATTTCGACTTATTCCTTGGACTTCAGCATCCATCATCACATATCAAAACTTAAAATCTTAGATGCTCATTTACTTCCACAGGCTAGCAATTTTAACTTAGCCGCGTTAGTTTATGATGAAAATTATAGAAAGCGAAAGATTAAGAAAAAAATAAAATAATTTTCTTATACAACCCAATTAATTAACATAAAATTAACTTTTCAATTTCTTACAATTTTTTCAAGAAAACACAGTAAAATTTGAATTCGTCCATATAATACAAGGAGTGGTTATCTTAATAAAATTCTTACAATAAAATTTATTTATTTTCTTTCACTTCATTGCCTATCACTTTTACTTTCACTTTCCAACAATATTTTCAACTGTCCAATCTAGTGCCACAATATTTTAAAAAAATTCAATCGGATTTGGTTGAGTTTTTAAAGATTTATTTATTTTTTCAAAATTTTATAAATTAGTTTGTTAAAAAAGAGTAAATTATAGTAAACATCCTTAAATAAACTATAACACATTTGTACTTTACCCCACTGAATTTCAAAATTAAAAATCATGTGCTTTACACATGATTTGACTTTTTTATAAATTTATATTATAACAAAAATAATTAATTTTTATAAGATAATATTTTAAGGAGATTAACTATTAAGTTTTGAAATTTAAGAGAACAAAATGTAAATAAATTATAGTTTAAAGGGGCTTAGTGTAATTTACGCAAAAACAAATCAATAATACTACTCATTTTCATATATTTTATCTTTTTTATAAGAAAGTATTTTCTTGATATTTATTTTCATTTAGTTTATTTTTTTTATCTTTTTTATAAGAAAGTATTTTCTTGATATTTATTTTCATTTAGTTTATTTAAAAAAAAATAATATTCAAATCACATACAAAATCATCACATTTCCAGCCTAAGATTTCCTGTAATCCAAACGGAGCCTTAAGTTAAGTGAACAAACAGCCAGGTCTCCCTCTCTGTCTCTCTGTCTCTGCGTCACTGATTTTTCTCTGAGTGTTTTTGGGTCAAATCTGTAGTGGGTATTCATTCTTTCTGGGTCTTAGAAAAGAGGTAGACACACGAGAAGAAGAACGATGGCAGCAGGTGTGAGCAGGAAGATATCAGCAGCATCAGCTAGGGCTCACACCAGAAGACCAAAGCAGACTACTTTTCAACTTCCTTCTGGTGGGTTTTCTTCATTTTCAACTACCATATGGTCTATATAAAGAATCTATGTATGGATCAATTCAAATATACACTGAACTATGACATGGGTCTTAGTTGTTCTGAAACAATTATGTATACTAAGTCCTATGGGTAGAACATGTTAGCTTAGATGTTGTTTTGATGCATCAGATGAGCCAAAGATGAGCACTTTGGAAATAAATTTTCAGTAATTTATGGGGAAATTGTAAGATGAGCACTTTGAAATTGGTACTTTGAACAAATGAGTAAGGGCTTCAATAATAGGTGTTGTTCACTTTACGGATGTTCTTGTGTTCTTCTTTAGTGATTTTGATACAATTTTATTTTTTACGTAAATCTGGCATTATACATATAATAGTAATATATCTCTTTGATCTGGAGATTATTTTTGAAGGATTTTACACAGTGATCACTTTCTTAACTGATGATTCAGAAGGAGATTCATTGTTCACTGTTTATGAAAGGGTTGACTTTTGATTTGAAATGATCTTTTAAACTATTGGATACATGTGAATTTGTATACATGTTAGTGGCAATAACAGAAGGAAAGGATAAACACACCCTCAGTTACGATGCAAAGTGTTGAGTTTATGACGTGAAATGCTCGCAATGTTTTTGAAGTTATGGCCCAACCATATTGTGTTGTAGCTCTAATAATTTACTGATTCAGAACTCAGAGTTATGATTCAATGTGGTTGATGTCATAACTTCAACCACTTCGCATCATAACTGAGGGGGGTGCAAATCATGCACACTCCAATGGGGGTGTGCACCACAAACTGAGCCGGAAAGGTTTTGTTTGCTTAACAATATTCGTGATAAAATCACTAAACTTAGGTCTTTTTAAAATTGGTTTTGGATGTGTCATAAAACATCTTGGTGAGTGCTTGACCTGTCATCTCATTTCTTGTAACTTGTATGTGAACTTTGTTATGATGAATTTAATATAAGTAATATTTCTATGCTTTGAGTGGGATAAAACTGATTGATCATAGCTTTTGTTTCCAAAATTTACTACGTAACTGTTTTTTTTCTCTTGCAACTTTATGGACTGTATTCTAATCTAATCATTTCTTCATATTTTCAGGGATGTTTAAGAAAATATTAGTGGTGTTCTTTATGGGGTTTATGGCATGGGCTTATCAGGCAACACGGCCACCTCCGTCCAGGATATGTGGCTCTGCAGATGGTCCTCCTGTTACAGCTACTAGAATAAAACTTAGTGATGGAAGGCATTTGTCCTACAGAGAATATGGTGTCCCAATAGATAAAGCCCATTATAAAATAGTGTATATACATGGCTTCGACTCTTGCAAACATTATGCTGTAGTTGACACAAGTTTATCTCCTGTAATGATACTATTTATTTTGCTTCTGTTGTTTCCGTTTTTTTGTGGATCTTCATTCTAGTCTAATTTATTTGTCGTATTGCTTGATTTATGGTTGATTTTAACAGGATGTTGCTAAAGGTTTAGGGGTCTACATTGTGTCATTTGACAGACCTGGTTACGGAGAAAGTGATCCTAATCCAAAACAAACAATGAAGAGTTTGGCTTTGGATATAGAGGAGCTTGCTGATCAGTTGGGGCTAGGATCCAAATTCTATCTTGTTGGGTTTTCCTTGGGTGGGCAGGTGGTTTGGACCTGCCTCAAGTACATTCCTCACAGGTATTGTTTAATCAAGTTATATTTAAGAGTGAGGGAGGGAGATAGATTGTTTAACAACTGGAATGATATAATGCATTGCCTTTGCTTTTTAAAACTGATATACTGACATGGAGACATAACATGACACAGATACAACAATATGGAAATTTTCAGAAAGTGTAAGACGCAATATGTGGGGAACACGTGGCAAATATATAATTTTATGTATTTATTATATGTGATATAAGGATAAATAATTATTGTATGTGAATATTTAAGTCAAAGATGATAATTTTTAAAAGGAGGAGAAACAAGTATAAATTTACATTGTTTTTATTTTATTGTTGGATTCCAAATTATTTTATTCAAACTAGTAATGTGTTTGTAGTGTCGTGTCAGAGTTGGACACGACACGTTACCTTCTTAGAAGTGTGCGTGCTTCTTAGGCTAGTACTATCTTCGCTACACTGGAGGAATGACAGACTACCGTCTTTGGTTTTTATCAACAAGTTTCTGTCTGTTTATTGTGTCTTTGCTTTTATCTTTCTCAAGTGGTTTACATGAAATGCTAACAGGCTGGCAGGAGCAACACTTATAGCTCCGACTGTCAACTATTGGTGGCCTGGTTTTCCTGCAAATTTATCTAAAGAAGCCTACTATCAGCAGTTGCCTCAGGACCAGTGGACATTTCGTATTTCTCACTACACTCCATGGCTTACCTACTGGTGGAACACTCAAAAGTGGTTTCCTTCTTTTAGTTTAATAGCTCACAGCTATGCTGTTCTTTCTCCCCAAGACGTAGAACTTTTGCCTAAGCTTTCTGCAAACAAGGCATACGAGGTATTTATTATGAAAATCCATTTGTGCTTATTTTCTATTACTAAATTGAAATTATGTTATGAGGCCATTATTTGGAGCAATGTTAAAAGCTCAGGCTGCCAGCTGTCAGAACACAGTTTGACGGCATTTTCCTGCAAAATGCCAAAAAGTTAGTTTTGGACCCAGTTTACTTCCCCTAGCACCATCAATCAATTCAATGCCAAAAATATCTGTGTAGTGCCAATTTTATCAGATGTTCCTGAAGGGACATTTCACTCTAGAAAAAATGTATGTATAGGATACATTCTTTCCGATGGATAAACTTTAAGCCAATCGCCTATTGTTTGTATTCTTGTGAGTGCATATACTTTTTATCGTAATTTCTTTCAAATTTTGCTACCATAAGACTGATGAACTATTGCTTGATTTCCGGACGTATTTAAGATGTATAAAGAAGGCTCCTACCTAATTGGTAGCACATGGTTGTGGAAGGACTGAAGAACATTTTCAGCTAAATTTTTTTGTATATGTGATTTAGAATTTCCTATGATGATAGTAGCTGTGCGATTTCATGCTTAAATAGAAAGCCTCCTTAGTTTGTCCATTTTTATCTATGTTGCATAGATGTTATTACAAAGGATTTTACTTGAACTGCATATAAATTCATCCCATAGATTGAATGTTCAGAGCTTAGCCTTCCAGCGCGATATGCCAACTTGGAATTGGGTTATTACTGGCTTAGTTTTGACAAGAAGTGACACCTCTTATCTTGTAGATGAGATGGTTATTTAACATGGTACCAGAGCAGCCAGATCCTAACTTCCAAACCGTCACTCCCTCATAAAAATACACATTCACGAGGGTGATCAACACATGAGGATTTGACTTCTTGATAATTGTCATTGGTTTTGCTTCGACTCCTTGACTATTTATAATAGTTTTGATTCATTGAGCATGTACTTAGATATCATTGCTTGTCTACATGGTATTGGTGATTAGGCTTGCTAGAATGCAACATACTAATAGTTTTCATAAGTAAATTGGTGTTCAGGTGAAAGCTGAAGTTCAAGAATGCAACATAATGAACTTCTATTTTGCCTTTGATCAATAATACTTCTAGTCTAAGTCCATTCTTCAGGTTCAAGGTCCCTAATGAATTCAAGTATTAATGACTGGTCAAAGATAAATATTGTCAACGTTCTACTGTAATTTCATTCGGAGAAAAGATGACCACAGTTTGGGTTGTTACTTATTTTAATTCTTTTCCTTTTATATTTATTTGTTATTTTTTAGGTTGAAGGTGGGAAGAATCTGAAGATACCTCTTATTAGTATTGTTGTGAGATTGTAACAATTACAATTCACATGATTATGGCAATGGTTACTATCTATTCTTGCAGTGAACAAGAGATTTTTGTAGTTTTAGATTTGTTCTACCTAGTTACAGGCGATGGTTGAGATTATTGACAGAGCAACTTGAGAGTAGATTTATGTGATACCCAACATTGTTTGCGGAGAGAAAAGTACAAGTCCAAAGGTGTAAAGTTCTTCCAAGTTGTATTCGAAGTTGTCAATCTATCTTTTTGTTTAAAGCTCTTTAAAGTGGAATGGGAGAGAATCGCCTTATTCAAAATCTGTCTGTCTCTCTCTCTGTCTCTCTGTCACAATCAAATTGTGCATACTCTCCCTTTGATCTGAACAAGTTTTATTATTTTATCCAAAAAGCAAAAGAAATGAGAGATTGTGATTCAGTCTAGTCCTTCCCTTTCCATCTACTGTGAAATTTTTGTTTGTGTGGATATTGATTGATGCCATTGTTTCTGAAACCGGGAGAGCAAGTTAGTCGATGGTGAGAAGCGACACCAGTAGAAAGTGGTCAACTTCTGAATTGGAAGCATGTGCTCTTGTGCAGGCCTTAAAGCATTTAAGGCATCATCAAATATCTTTAGAGTCCATCTTTGTGCAGATCTTTAGTTATTGAACTTTGTAAACAATAGGGCTGTCTTTGGATGAGTGGATTTCAAATAAAGCGATTTGAGGTTGAATTTTATAAAATTATAAGAAGTTTAGTTATTAAAGGTATATGATGGCTCTAAAGTGGAGAATTGAATAGAGGTATGTTTGAGGTATTTTGTTAAGATCCTTGTACAATTGAATCTTTCATGGAAGGATTTCAAATAATTATTTTTACAAAGTTAGTTAAAATCTATCATTATAAAGCTGTCTCAAATCTATTCTTGATACCTACATCTAAAATATTACATCGGTTTAAAGGCTATAACCTTCAAATTATTGATGTCAAATCCATTCATTTCAAATCTATAAATCCAAAAGGAGCCTTATAGTAATTTTGCATGAAATGGATGCCACATGGAATTTCTCTTTAAGGGAATTCTCTTTGTACATGAGAGAGAAAACAAGTTTGTTTATGCTTGAAGTGGTATGGGAACTTTACTAGTCAATAATAGATGTACCTGAAAGAGCTGAATAGACTTTGGGAACAGTTGCATGAGAAAATGATTTGAAACAACTCCCGTGAGATGTCGCAATCACATCTTTTGAATATACCAATAGTGTTGTTAAGGTGCCTTCCTAGCGGTAGTTTGGATGCTTTCCAAATGTTCTTCCGCTTCTGTGATGTATTATGATGGAAGGACTAAGAATCTTGTAGCTTCAACTTCGCACCGGATTTTAAGAGCATCAAATCTCATAGCTTCGAGTGTTTCATTGGATATACGGTCATATATATTAGAGGAGGCCTTTGTAACACAACATTAGTGTAGACCTTTGTGATACAAGTTGAAGGACGTTTAAAGTGGCTGACTTCAAAGACTGGGACACTGCTTTTCCTGCTCCCTCTTGTGGAAACCCTTGATGTTGGCATAATCTTTGACTGAACAATCCCAAGCGACATTCTTTTTTTCTTTTTCCTTTTAGAAATTGAATTTCATAAATGAAGATGCTAGGAGGCAAAGACCTAAGCTGACATGGATACAGTAGTGAAGAATAGAGCAGAATGGCGAAAAATGATTCACGTGGCCGAACCCATTTGATTGGGAGACAAGGCTTAGTTTGGTTTGGTTAAGTTAAGAAAATTGAATTTCATAGCAGTTGCACAGGAACGTTAAGTTTCCCAGTGACTTTAGTTTCCCTGGTTTAGTAATGTCTTGAATTAGCCGTAGCTCTATTTTATAAACTCGATCTGTGAGCTGTGACCAATATTTCATCACTGATTGAAAATTCTTACTGAAGAAGAGTGAAATTGGCATGGTTAGATTATAATCTGCTTCTGCCCTATAAATGGTGAGTATTAATACATTTTCCTATTATTCTTAATAGCTAATTGTAATATACTTAATGGATAATTAACCTAGGGTTTCATTTTCCGTATGTTATCTTTCTTGGGTCTCAGGCACAGGTAAGACAGCAAGGAGAATTCGAGTCCCTCCACCGTGACCTGATGTTTGCTTTTGGAACTTGGGAATTTGAGCCTATGGATTTGGAAAACCCATTTCCAAACAATGAAGGTTCAGTCCAACTATGGCATGGAGATGAAGATCGTATTGTGCCCGTTACGTTGCAGCGTTACATTGTCCAACGACTCCCATGGATTAAATATTATGAACTTCCGGGTTCTGGGCATATGTTCCCTTATGCTGATGGAATAGCTGATGCCATGATAAAGGCACTTCTAGTTGGGGAAAATAGCCAGCCTCAGATTTGATGGGGCCTGGGCATATCCCTTATGCTGATGGAATAACTGATGCCATGATAAAGGCACTTCTAGTTGGGGTAACATAACCGGCCTCAGATTTGATGGGGGCTTATATTTCGGTAAGCCGCGTGGTTAGGTTTCTTCTGCTCTCTTTTTTTTGGGTGCTAAAATTTGTTGTGATTATTTTGATATGTATGACAAAAAGTCAAAATCTGGACCTGTTGTTGAGTTTTTTTGTGATCTGTATAGTGACATATGTAGTGACTTTGAACATTTATATGTAGTGGGAAACTGATTTGTTTTTTTTTTTTTTTAAATTTTTTTGGGGTAAAATTGCAGTTAACTACCTCAACTATTATCTTGCTACACTTGACACCTTCCGTTAGGATTTTGTCCTGAGATTTAAACGAAATTAAGTTATGTGTGAAGCACATAATACACTTTTTGATTTTTTAGGACAATAATACTTGTTATTGATTTTTTTAAAACAATAATATCATTATCTAGTGATTTCATTTGTGTTCTCTCTCTTATGTTAGTGGCAAAATGCAAATGAAGTCACTAGATAAGGGCATTATTGTTTTAAAAGTTTAATAAATACGTCATATGTTTTACATGTGCACATATGATTTAATTTTGTATAAATCTCTAATTGAATCCTAGTAGAAAGGGTTAATTGTAACAAGATAATTGTTCGAATTGTTAATTATAAGGTTTTGAAATCAAATGAAGTAAAATACAAATAGATCATAATTTAAGAGAATTTATTGTAATTTTATTTTTATTTTTTTGGAAATGGGTAACGAGAGATTAGAGGATCCTGACTCAAATTGAGATCAATTCTTTGATTCTTTCGATATATATTAGAATTCTTTTTCTTCTACTTTTTCCACACTTCCATTGTCATGGCCAAGTGGTATTTTATAGAGATTGTGGTTGGTGAAGAAGATGGGATTAACGATTTATGTTAGAGATTGGAGTGATTATAATGAACATGACAGTGGATGGTTTTGGCATGGCAATGAGGTGCCTTATGAACACTAAATAATTTTTATTTCTTCTAATAAAGCATTTTTTTTACTTCATGTTTTTTTAATAGTTTTGAAATAGTATGCGAGTCCACTAGATATTCCCAACTAATGACTTCATTGGAAATTTTATGGGTTAAATAATACTTATGTTTCTCATTTATTTCTATTAATTATAAATTTTAAATAAATAAAAAAATACTTACACCATAATATCATTATATCCAAAAAAATAAAAATCAAAATATTATGTAGTAATGAGTTGGCATTGACGGAATTGGCCGCAATTCTCAAAAAGATGGAGGTACGAATGTGTTAAATGGATAATTTTATTTATACCACAATTTTATAGGAAATTATATTTTTACACCTTATTTAGGGGTAGTTTGGGATGATCTAAATAAGTGTATTTTTTTATTTTTTATAAAGTATGGGTTGGGTTTGAAGTGATGTGGTAGATAGGTGATGTGACTTAAATAAGATGATGTGACTTAAATAGAATAGTGATTTTTTTAGCTTTTTGACTTTTTTAGATTATGATAAATAAGGCCTTAATCTCTGTGTATATTATATCTCAGTTCACACATTTATGAATTTGATTATATATTATTAGTTTTATTCTACACATCAAATGTTCTAACTGTAACCCTAACTCATAATATGTGCACACTCCACTCAATTCAATCCCCTAAATCATTCATTGTGCACAACATTCCTTAAAGACCAACTCTAGTGATCTGAGACATCTTTCGGCAATCTAGCACTTTCCAGCAAAACATGACTATGAAAGACCTACATTGAGCTACACCGCATTTTGAAGGTAAAGAATGTGTATCTTTATCCCATTTTCCCATTTTGTAGTTATTAGAATAAAATTGCAAAAATAAGTTATAAATGTACCATTTTCGATAATAGTTCAATGGTGGTTTATCGACGGGACAAAAATAATCCATTCGGTATTGGTTTTCCAAATCAAATGGGTTTAATCGGTTTTGTACTTTTTTGTATTCGTTCGATTCTATATTTTCGAATAAATTTCGGCAATTGAAACCCGATTTTTTTCGTAAGTTAATTTCCCGAATCATGAAATTATCTCGGTGGTTGATTTCCGAACATAATGAAATTTTTCGGTACTAGTTTGTCGAATGAGAATCACGAACTGAATTTTTTTTTTAATTTTTGCACATAAAACTCACATTTTCATCGCTGCATTAGGTGTAATGGAGGAGAATAGATGGAGGAGAATAGAGTGTAGTAATGAAAAAAGTGAGAAACAATAGAGGAACAATATAGGTTTTAGTTTTTTGTTTTTCCAAAAGATGTGCACTGAAAATTATTTCCAAAAAATGTGTACAGAAAAAACTTAGTTTTAATAGTTAGTATGTATATTAATATCCATTATGATCATTTTATTTTATGATAAAATTGTAATAAAAATTTCTTTCATTAAGTGTGTGTGCATAGACTAGAATGTGTCTGAAAATAGAATTTCCCCAATTTTACCTCATTACACTATTTTTCTAATTACAACTCGCTTAAAAATTTAAAAAACTTATTTCATCTATTTACACACTCATTTATTCCACACCCTCATCTCTGTTGGAAAATAATGGGTTTTCAACAACTTTAATTTGAAATTAAAGCGGGACCTAACCGCCAGTTGGGGTGGCTCTGAATGGTTTTGTATTGTTTTAAGTGAGAAGATTGCAATACAAAAAAATGAGCCGAAACCATTGAGTTGTGAATGAGAATTGTCTCATAAAGTGGGCATTAATAAAATTGGGTTTAGATTTGGACTTAGTCTTGGTTTGGACTGGACTTAGACCTGTACTTGTGTATGTGTTGGGTATGGTCTTAGACTTGGACTTGGACCTAGTCTTAAGCTTTGGGCTGGGTTTGGTCTTAGACTTGGGTTTGGACATAGTCTTGAGCTTTAGGCTGAGCTATGCTGGGCTTAGTTTGTGCATGTGTATGAAATTGGACTTAGATCGGGTTATGACTCAATACTTGTATCCATTTTGCAACCCATCTAATTTAATTCCGAAAACTTATATATTATATAGACATTATGATTTGTATAATGGTTTTGGAGTTTTGAACCTTTGTAACTCTAGCCCTAATGGCTAGAGTTGATAACATTTGATGACCCCATTGATCTTAGCCTTCATGGCTAAGGCTCTCCCCTATTAGTATAAATAGACGTTTTTCTCCTCCAACTTAATAGTTTTTTTTAGAGAGGTTTTGTGATGAAAAATGAGATGATGTTTTGAAACGAAAAGTTGAAGATGATTTTTTTACACCAAAGAAAATTTTTTCTTTCTTCTTTTGTTAGCATCTTCTTTGGTTCTTGTTAGAGAGCGTGCAGCCATTATCAAGTTCGTCGAAGCTATTCAAAAGGTGCTTCTGTATTAGCTGGTTTCGTCCGTCATATTCTAAGAGACAGACACCGACGTATCTCCAGCATCCATCGGGAGGCGGTGAATCTGTTTCAAGAAAACTGTGGTATCACACAAGTTTCGATTTACTTCTTTTCTTATTATTTGTTCTTTAATTTTTCCGAATTTAGTTTATCTCGATGAGTTCTAATATTTAGTTATCCATGTTAATAATTTGTTCTTTTAATATTGTAATCTAATTTATTTATGTATTTAGTTGTATCGTTTATTCTGTATTTCATCCTTTAATAAAAAAAAAAATTGTTTTATCATTTCTATTTAATTTATTTTATATATTTTTCTTGTATTATTATGAAAAAATACCAACAATCTTAAAACAGATTTTTTTATAAATAGTATTTAAAAAAATAATTTAGCTTTTATTTTAATTTATTCTAGTAACTCTTGGAATTAAAATTAATTTAATTGCCTAGAGTTATTGAATTATTTTGAGTTGTTTATTTATAATAATTTATTCATACAATTTATTTTTTGTTAATTAGTTGTTATTGCATGAGTTATTTGATTGTTAGTGTTTAAGTTGGTAGGAGTTTGTAAAAATTAAAATTTTATTATGTAAGATTCTTACTATTTTATTTAATTTGTTTGATTGTTTTCTTTTGTAGCTAACTTTCTTTACAGGTTTACCTAAGAGAGAAAAGATTATATATAATACGAACAAATAAAATATATTGGAATTAATAAATTGGACTACTAATTGTTTATTTGAACAGGATTACCTTTCCGTGGAATAAAAAATAATATTGGACCTTCAGAATTTTAGTGAAATTTAATTATTCACTTTAGAGTTCAGTTTAATTTCGGATTTATTCCGTATGTTATTTTGAAAGTTTGGTAACAATTTCAATTTAATTTGATTAATTAAATTCTAAAAAAAAAAAAAAACAAAGAGCTAAATTTTGAGAATGTCAAGAGATTCAGCTAGTCGAGAGGTTGTGGATGGTATAGAATATCTCTAAACAGGTTTGTTTTGAGAGAAAATTTAGTAAAATAGTTTCAATTTTTCTATATAATGGTCTAATTTATGAGCTTGTTTATGATTGTGTTGCATTATCGCATGGTGATATAGCTTAGTAGTGCAGTGATATTAACCCTTATTTATTCTATTTATTTTTAGTTGTATCAATTGTGAATTCTTTCATGTCTTGATGTGTAATCAAGGAAATTACTCCAAAATATTCCTTTATATATATTTGCTCATAATTGCATGGTTGGATTGATAACATTATGACCATAATATTCCTTTATGTATCATGACATTCTTGTAACTGCAATGCATCTATGGCCTTTTAATTACACATTGCGAGTTATAGTTGAAATTACTTGTGTAATATTCACTTTATTGGTTTATTAACTCATCTTGTATCCAAGTGTGTATATAAACAGTGAGCATAGAGATTTAGCGGCAACGAGGATAGAGTTTTGTAATGTACTTTATACAAAGATAAGCATTACAAGTGGCAAAGTATGTTCTTGGCTAAACAGACGATTCTAGATGCAAACATGAACTCTGTTTTGCAGATTTAGACAATTTTTAATTGTAGCAGTTGTAGTTGTAGTTGCATTTCCATTTCTATTTGTAGTGGTTTTAATTTCTAATTTGTAATAGTTTCACCATAATGAAAGGAAAGGGGAAAGGAAGGAAATTATAAACCTTCGAGTTTAAAGAAAGTCTTTAGGATTAATTTTATTATTCCCAAAGTGTTTTGGTTTTCTGTAATAGAAACTAAAGTTTAGCCTTGGCTAAAGAGTATTTCTAATTTGTTCAGAAATGACAACTAAGCTGGGTTTGGTTTCAAACCTTTGTGATTTGAGGAAGTCTTTGAGTT